ATGCATTGTTTATGCGACTACCTGACGTTTGGCGGTAACTTGAGGATTTGTCTGGCCCTTGTACAGGTGGGCTGGCGTTCGGGCCATGCCCAGGCCCATTTGCCCTGTCGTCTTCGGAATACATGTGTCCAGGACGTCTCGGGACGCTACACTGGTGGCAGCGGAAAGCGAACTCGACTACTTTTAACGACTTTTAGCCGAGCTGGGGTCTCTCTCTGCGGCTTGTTCTTTGTTGGTCGTTTGTTAAAACTATTACCCAACAGACACCGCTGTCTTACTGGCATCCTACGTTTGTGTTGCTGAACTTTGCACCATCCAATCGAACCTTTGCTCATCGGCTTGTTCGTACCGTTCTTTTCCAGAAATCAGTCGATTAATTGGCAATGCTTCAGTACCTACAAATCGCACAAGATCAGGAGATTTATGTCGCTTGTTATTGGTGTTGATTATCTGGTTTTGCATTTCTATGAGCCTGATGATGAGCTATTAACAACTGAAGCGACACTGCCTTGAACCAGTTGGACAAGTTTCGTGTCGGAAGTTCTCCTACAAAATCCGTGTATAGGTGTCGGAAATGACACAACGGTTTTCCTTGCATACGGGCCAGTGACTCATCCCGTTTTCCCTGTAACATGTATGCTTTAGGCCAGAGTTCCACCGTATATTCCCGGAAGCAATTGGTGATCAACATGTGTATGCGGCCCTGAATCTGGTTGTCAGACCGAAAGTAACACCAGATCCAGTTGAAGCTGTCGAGGAGACCAGATGCGGTTCCTCAGTCTCATGCTATCTGTCGACTGGCGCGGATGGCTCGTGGGTGCTTTCATGTGGTACCGAAAGGGAGCGTCGAGGACGTCGTTCAAAAGAAGAGAGGGGCAGTGTAATACTTTGTTTGTGTGACTACCTGACGTTCGGTGGTGACTTTACGATTTGTCAGGCCTTTGTGCGTATAGGCTGGCGTTCGAGCCATACTCAGGCCCATTCGATCAGTACCCTCCGGAATACACGTATCCAGCCTCACTTATGCCTTCTACTACCCCGTGAGAAGCCTTGGTACGCTACACAAGAGCCTGACGTTATGGTCATGATTCAGTCACTATGATGGGGACATAAAATTGATAATTTAATCATATTGAGAGTTTAGAGAAAATGAGTCGTATCTTTGTCATCGAAGATGAAGCTAAGAGCTAACAGATGTGTTAGAGTTCATATACATGCTCCTGTTATTGCGTCTGAGTGATGAATAAACGTGCCAACCTAGATAGTGGTCGATTCGCAGTAAAAATCAGTTTCACTGGGTTTATATGTGTTCGTGAAAGAATCTGTAGCGTGCCAAGACTCCCAAACGGGTGAAAGAAGTCAGTGAGGCTGGATACGTGTATTCCGGAGGGTACTGATCGAATGGGCCTGAGTATGGCTCGAACGCCAGCCTATACGCACAAGGGCCTGACAAATCGTAAAGTGACCACCGAACGTCAGGTAGTCACATGAACAAAGTACTACGCTTTGTACGTGTGGGCTGGCCTTCGGGTTATGTTCAGGCCCATTCTCTCTGTTCCCTTCGCAATACATGTATCCAGCCTCACTTGCTGACGTTTGTACTAGCCAGAAAGTCTCGGAACGCTACAACTAAGAGCTACCCTTTTTATGTCATGCTTTGAACTGGTCCAAAATATTCTGTAGTTGGGGTTTTGGGACTAGTTTGTTTGTAGTCTATTTAAAAGCTATGTATATTTATCTAACGTTTTACTTTTAAACAATCGAAGCCAATATTTTGTTTTCATTAAATCATTACGAATATCTTCTAAATTTATCTAAAGAACTA